TGGCACAGGGTCTCCGGAGTTACCCAGTCCTAGTGGAGTCCAGGTCTGATTTGCACACCATCTGAGTGATGGGGCACTCACTGCCCCCCCCAAGCACCCCTTCCATGCAGGCTGTGCTGAGCCTCTTCCCCAGCCCCCTGTCGCTTGCTGGGGGCCGTCATCGTCCTGCCCTGGCAGCACCCCAGCACAGCTGAGTCTGAGCCTCTCTCCATTCTCCAGCTCTAGGCTGGACCACCTCCCACAAGGACCTGACTGAATGTTGGGGTCTGCATGTCTGACCATGCGAGGAGGCTGCGTTGGCTCCCTGTGGCCTCCAGGAGAAGGCCGGCTCCTCACTGGACATCTGGACATCCGAGGCCCCGCTGCCAGCTCACTTCATCTCCAGTGCTTCTGCCACCCCCATCTCGGCCACACCCACTCTCTCTGGTCTCAGGATGGGCAGGAGACTTCCAGGGCTCAGGTCTATGCGTGCATCTGCCAGGGGCACGCAAAACCCCTTCCCTCAGCCTTTGAGACCCAACTCAGATGTCCCCTTCTCTGGGAGAGATTTCCTGCTGCTCCTCCCCCTGGGCAGACAAGTCCTGCCCTGACCTCCCAAGTGTCTCTGGCCCCTTTACTTCCTCTCCATGCTGTCACTGACTATTGACAAGCCTCTTCCCTGCCCACCCGTGTGCTCCCAAGATCAGCAGCCAAGCCTCGACTACCATTGGGTCCCAGTGCCCAGCAACCAGTTTACCACCAGATCCCAGCCTCCATCAGGTAAGTGGGTGACAAGAGGCCCCCAGAAAACCACTGGCTGAGTGGGGGTGTCCTTCTGAGCACTCTGCAGCTCCCACCCCACGGCAGCCCCTCACTCCCATCCCTGCTCCTTCCTCCAGCCTCCTCAGTCCCCCTTTGGTGTCCTCCTAAGGAGCTCTGGGCTGGGAGTCACCTGTAGACTTGGGCAGCTTGCTTCCCTTCCTTGGGCTCAGTCTCCCCAGGCAGGGAATGGGCTGGGGGCTCAAGTCCATCACCTCCAACATCCTGTCCCCTCAGAGTCTCTCCCCAGCTGTGTGCAGCGCGCACTGCGCCTCCCCACCACGACGGTGCCTGACAGGGGATGCTGTGTATACAGCAGTCGCATGATATAAAGCATTCGGCATGATGCTGGCAGAGTGTAAGCTTCAAATAAATGGAAGCGGCCATTATTAATCATTATTACCTCACAGAGATCCAGTATGTGCCATTTTATAGATGAGAAAACTAAGACAATCAGAGGAGGCGCGACCCGTCCCAACTCCCCCTGGCGGGAAGCATGTGGCTTGATCCGGTTCTTCTCTACCATGCCAGCCCGCCAAGCCCAGTTATCCAGCCCTTATGCACATATTTACACACGCCTGCTGTGCACTAGATATGGGGTGAGGGCTGCCCATACAGAGGAGCCCCTGCCTTCATGGCAGCTACAGTTTCCTGGGAAAGACAGCCGTGAACTAAACACGCAAATGCATGCAAACACACAGCGTGCTCAATGATATCAAGGAAAAATCAGGGTGCCCTGAGACAACTTGGCCTGGGGTGACCCAGATGCAAAGCTTCCAGCTAATGTGGTTAACTCTTTGCTGGCTGGGCAGCTCGCTAGCACCCCTCCAGACCCGCTTAGGGGTGACAGCCCTGGAAGAGGATACTGACACAGCCTGCTGGTGTCCTCACCCCGGTGTTGGCTTCCAAGTCCCCCCGTCTCTTTGAAGACTGTCCCTTTACAACTGCCCTTTCCACCGAAAGATTCAGACACAAATTGTACTTTAAATTCAATATTGGTCATTAATATTTCATGATTACAAAACGTTAAAGATAATGTCAGTGGAAGGAGCATCTGCATGGGCAGAATGGATGACTCAGAAGTTCGGGGAGAGGGGAGCCGGCATACTAAGTGGCTCGGGAGTCTTTGAGGTAATCCAGGATGACAGGCGGCGGCTCCTGGCTGAGTGCTACATTCTCCGAGGTGCTCGCAAGGCTCCGCTGCTGTGTATAAATATTTCCCCTCTGATTCTTGTCACCTCATGTTTGTTACACCCAGAGCAGGCAGGACTGCTGTGACCCCATGAGCGTCCCCTGTTTCTGGGGAAGCCAGATGGACGCGGCAGCCGGGGGGGCACCCATGGGCATTGCACTTGGGGCTTCGGCTGGCCGCTGGGGTCGGGTTCTGAGCCCTGACTCTGCCTGGGCTCGCTCTGTGGGACCTTCGCTGTACCTCCCAGAGCCTGTTCCCTCATCTATAAAGTGGGGGTGCTAACTTTGCTCTTATCTCATGAAGATGTCAAGAAGCAGGAGTGGGTGGATTATTTGGGACACCCCTGGCTTCATGCCTGGTATCAAGGAAATATGACTCGAGGGACATCAGGGTAGAAGCCTGGATCTGGAGTCAGACAAGCTGGGGCTGGGGCTGTGGACAAAAGAACGTCCCTCTCCTAGTCTCAATGTCCTCGCCCACACACTGGGCCCAGTGGCGGAAGTCACCCTTCAGGTGGGAAGATTCAGTAACTTCAGCACTGTAACCTGCCTGGCACAGACAGTGCTTCAGTCAAGTGCAGTGTCAAGACCAAGAGATACCAATCATTGAGCACTTATTGAGTACTGGGCTAAGTTCTTCCCATGCATTATCCCAATTAACCCTCCCACCAGCACACTGAAGGGGAATCATTCATTTTCCCTGTGATTAATATCCAGGGGGAGGGCTGGGCAGAGTTGCGAATGGCAGCTCAGAAAAGGCAATGTGTACCCCAGCAGTCAGCCCTCCTTCAGACGCTCATCTCTTCCGCACACTCCCAGTCATTGCTGGGGATCGGCGTGTGGGCTGGGGTAAGCCTCAAAGAGCAGTGAGGGCAGAAAAGAGAGGCGAGTCACCCAGTGATGCTGTCGAGAGAACTGGGCAAGTCTTCTAACTCTGCGAGCCTTGATTTTCCTTCAGTAAAATGGGCGCTGACCGTTTCTGATCATGATTCAATAAAAGCATGTTCTAGAAAGCATCTGGCCCAGAATATGTATCAGGAAACACCATACAATGTTTGGGGGGGAGAGTCTCCCCCACATTCTTTCTCCTGTAAAGTGGCAGTGTTACAGACTTTGTATGCTGCTCTAGCGACTTTCTAGAAGGGACCCACTGGGTAGAAGCACAATGCTTAACCCAGAGAGGACCTTGCTAGCGGTGGGATGTCAGGCGGTGTGACAGGCTGGTGGGGGAGATGTATTGTGGGCAGAGGCGGAGGCATCTCTGCCCAGCAGCTAGGCCAGTCCCCTGGCTGCACAGGGAACAGGTTCAGGGGGGCAAGCAGGGGGAGCGATCTTCCCCCCGAGTCCAGCCGCCACTTCCTCTCCAGCCACCTTTGTTATCTCCCTTTCATGTGGTGGAGGAGTGGATTCAAAGGCTCCTGAGCAGCAGGCACTGAGGTTTCAGCCAGCTTTGTATTTTCTTTTAAACTGAAGTTGAAAGAGACAAGGGAACTTCAGCCTAGGGACTTCCTCGGCCAGCCGGAATGGGCCGGCGGGGTCTGCAAAGTGGGAGGGCGCCAGCAGGGAGAGGAGGAAGAAGGCGGTGGGTGGGCAGGCAGGGGCAGGAGGGTGGGGCGGGGTGGAGGCCAGTGTGAATGTCCACCGCTGGAGGCTCTGAGACTGAGTAGTCTTGTCCTGGTTCCTTGCTGGAGCTTTGCTGGCTCCAGAGACCCTGAGCTGGCAGGGTAGGGGCTGGGCAAGCAGGCTGGGCAGTGCCAGTGTGGCTGTGGTTACTGAGGTTGGAGATAGCCCTGGACCCGCACGCTCCCCTCTCCTGGCGCTCCATGAACCCCTGCTCCCAGCTTCTTACCTCCAAGGCCTCCTTTACCTGGACCTCATGTCTCTGGGCCCTCCTCCCCAGCTCATCCTCCTCAGCTGCACCAAACACACACACACACACACACACACACACACACACACACACACTCACACTCACTCTCTCTCTCTTGCTCAAGCTCTCTCTCTCTCTGTCTCTCTCTGTCTCGTGGAACGCAGGTCAAGTACTTGGAAGTTGTCCCTTTCCAACTCCCACCTGCGCATCACCCTGTCAGCTGGCCCTGTTGGCTCTGTCTACGGTCCTTCTCCCAAAACCAAGCCCTCATCGCACCTCCTCCGTTGCCAGGGCCTCTGTCATGACTTCCTGACACTACCCCATTAAGCTCCTAGCTGAGCCCTCTTTCTCTCTCAGGCCCCAAATAACATCTATTCTCAATGCATCGGCCAGAAGTATCCTCTCAGGCAGTGCCTCCTCCGCTCAATCCACCCCCCCACGCCCGCCCGCCCAGGGGCTCCCATCTCATTTGAAGTTCAAAGACCCTACAATGGCTGATCCTCTACCCTTGCCAAACACACAAGCCTCCTTGCTGTTTCTCCAACATGCCAGGCAAACTACCACCTCAGGGCCTTTGCACAGGCTGTTTCCTCTCCTTGGAACACTCACCCCTCAGAGCTCAGCATGACTCCCTCACTGAATTGAAGTCTCTCTTGAAATGTCTTCTTGGAGGTGCCTTCCCACAAGAGAACCAGCACCTGCTTTCTCCCAACCCTCGTCCCCCACCATTTCCTTCCCAGTTTTTTTCTTAAATTAGTGCTTAACATCACCCGACATACTATGTGCACCTTTCTCTACCTCTCTTGATGGTCTAGCCCTCCCCCATTAAGACAGGAGCTTGTCTGTCTTGAGGGCTGTATCTTCAATCTCTAAAAAGAAGGCCTGGTGTGTAACAAGTGCTCAATAAATACTGAGAGAAGAAAGCCAGCCCAAGACTGGCTCTGCGCTTTCGGCTCACGATCCTTCCCGGAGCCCTGCACCTGCCCATCAGTTTTTGCAGCGCCCCACCCCCAACACTGTACAGTGTCTTATGTTTTGCCCCGCCCACACCATGTAGCCCCTCCCCCATGGGCTTTGTCAGAGGCCCCGCCTCCAGCTTTGCCCCTCAGGTATGTATCAGCCCCGCCCCGTCCCGGCTCACCCGCCTCCATGGCCAGCACCGTGATGTTGTGCCAACCGGCCGTCTCGCGGTCCAGGCCCTTGCCCGTCACGATGGCGCCTGTGTCTGCATCGATATCAAAGATCTGGTCCAAATCAGAGTCACGGTCGATGGCGTACCTGCGGGAGTAGGGCAGGGCTGATTGAAGGTGCCCTGGCACCAGGTGGAGACTGTGCCCTGGCCCCCTGCCCCACCCATGAAAGGCACCACCTGACAGCAAGACACAGGAGTAGACAGGGGTCCAGCTTGCCTCTTAGCCACACTGGGTCCTGCTGTGTGACATGAACCGCTCTCAGATTCTGAGCCTCAGTTTCCTCAACCAGGCGACTGGGGAGGGAGGCTGATAATTTGTACCTCAAAGTTGTAAGGGATGGAAGGAGGCAACGTGCTTGGAACAGAGTTAGCATTCTCTGGTTATCCAATTCTTATCTTTCTATAAAAGGTGGCCCCAGAATTGGGCCTGAGAAGGTGGAACAGAAGGTGTCAAGGCCAGGCAGTGAGAACCCTGTGGGTGAGAGCTATTCAGAGAATGCCAAATGGTGCAAGATGGCTGGACCTGGAAGTGGGGAGAGTTAGGCGCCAGGACTCCAAGAGCGAGGCCCAGGATTTAGGGATTTGGCGTGCACTGGGGAGCCAAGCGGAATTTTGAGCAGCAGGGAGAGGTTTGGCTTTGGAGGCTGGTGGCTGGGCAGGCCGGCCCCAGGCCCAGCTGAGCAAATGTCTTGCCGAAGAGATCTGGGGGGATGGCTGCCGGCCCCTCCTTGTCTGCGCAGCACGAGCGAGCTAATCTGCAGCTTTTCAGTTGCCTTGTGAAAAAGCCCTTTGTTCCGCCTTCTTCCCAGGCCTTTGTGCAGCGGTTTCAGGCCTGAAAGGCCCGTGTCCAACACATGTCTCGGGCGGCTGCGGCCCAGAGAGGCCAGCTCCTGCCGCCGCTTCCCCACGCTGATAATGCGGGTGGGGGCTGGGGGTGCATTGCCAGGCTGCGTGGCCACAGAGGCCTCAGAAGCCAAGCAAGGGCTCATTGTACAGCAAGACAAAGGCGCTTGGTGGAGCAGGGCTCAGTCTCAACCACTGGACCCCTCCGGGCAGGAGGAAAAGCCCTTCCCTCTCCAACCAGAGTGGGAACCGGTGGCCCAGGGAGGCAGGACACCAGAAACAGGCCCTGTTGGGGGCCCAGGATCCTGAGATGACCCTTCAGGGGGGCCTTAGTTGCGTTGTCTAACCTCTCTGGACTCAGTTTCCTGATCCGCTGAATGGGGATAATGACACGGAGGGGAATGGGAACCTGAGAGCTGCCAAAGCCGGCCTGGAATCCTGCTGCACGATCGATCCATCTACCCGACTGCCCTTGGATAAGTCACTGGATCTCCTTGGTCTTTGTTGCCTTTCTGGAAGAGATGTGGGTATGAGCTTCACACTGGTGTGGGCTAGTGGAGGTGGTGCTCAGGTCTGGGCACAGGTGACAGCCCTTCTTGACCCATTTTCTGATGTGCAGGAGGTGAAGGTGTGTGGCACACTGCCAAGGGCCATGCACAGGGATGTGGTGGGCATTTCAGCTGGTCCCACAAGTCCCCAGTTTAATGCTCCTTCTTGCCTTCAAGCTGCTAACCCCACATCCTTCTGGTCCCTGACCAGCTGAGGTCCTCGGTGAAAGATGATAATTCCTCTCCTTAACACAGTTTGCAGAGCGATTTTCCTCCAGCCATCCATTCATTCCTATATACCTAAACACTGGGCGCCTTCTCTGTGCTGCGCCCTGGGCATAAGGAAAATGACAGGCCCCTGCCTGACATCCTGGAGACAGATGTGACCCCTGTTTTGCAGATGAAGACTCTGAAGTTCAGAGCGCCTAGGGCATAGGGCTGCCAAGTGTGGAAGTGCGGGTTATGTAAGGCACAAAATTACGAGGCTGAATGGCGGTGGAGTGGGGTGAAGTCCAGCTAGTGTTCTGTTTGCCAACGTGCATCCCAGACCAGGGAGTATCTTCTCAAAGGGAGGCCTGTTTCTTATTTACACAAAGGGCTGCACAGGGAAGGTCACAGAATTGGAATTTGTATCTAGATTTGAGACTCAATACCCACAGTTTTTCTAGCTTGTTGAATCATCCAAAGCTGCACAGCAGGAGACCAGGCCCCCTGTCTCCAGCATGGCCCGTTGGGATCTGAAGGAGGAGTGTCGTCTCGGCTGGAAGGAGCCATGGACACCCCCTTCTGCTTTTATAGGTGGGATGACAGAGCAAAGACGCAGCCTAGGCCTCCTGACGCTGGGTCAGGGCTGGGCGCGAGGCAGGGTTTGTGGGAAGGTGCCCACCGCCTTCTTGCTTCTCCTGCCCACTCTATTCAGATCTCTCTCCTCGTTCTCCCTTCTCCTTCCAGATTGTCTCTTTTGTTCCCTCCAGGAGGCGAAGGGGCGGGCTGGCATCTAAGTGGAGGCAGCTGTTCCCAAGGCCGTGGGGTGGGGGGCTGAGGGGACCCGCCATTAGCCAGCTAAAGACTTAAGGCTGCAGGTCACTGTGGCTGGCTGATCCCAGGTGGTTTTGTTCCAGATCAGGGAGCCATCGAGTGAGTGGGAGGGAGAGCTGGAAGGGGCAAGGAAGCTTGGCCCGGTAAACAGAGGGGGCAGGGGAGCGGCTTGTGCACCTCACGTGTAGGGGCACGAGTTGTGTGGTCTGTGTTGCGGGTGGAAAGTGTGTGGCTTGAATATGTGTGTGTGTATGTATGTGTGTGTGTGTCTGTATGCGCGTGTGTGACTATGTTGTCGTTGGAAGAGCAAAGCTGTGGGTCTGGATTCAAATCCACGTTGACTACAGACAAATCACTTCTGTCTTTGAGCCTTAATTTTCAGCACAGTAGAGAAAAACAATCTACTTTGCAAGTTGTTGGGAGGATTAAATGTCTAGCTGGAGGATAAGGTGCCTAACTGAGTTCTAGGAGAATTATTCCATGAGTGAGAACTATTGTTATTCTAATTATCATTCAGAAATGTCTGGCCAGGGTGACAGAGGAGTCTCCCCAACACATGTGTGGCCTGTGTGCTGGGGATGGGACGCACCACAAATCAGGTATGGATGGCAGAGCTCTGCCTGAGAAGGACAGGAGGCAGTTGTGGGTCCAGAAGATTCTTCTCAAATCTCTCCCTGCTATTTCTCATTGGGTCAGCCAGGACCTGCAGGGCAGGAAGGGGAACCAGAGCACATGTGGGTGGAAGGGCATAGTGAGAATATGTGGACATGTTTCCACTAATGTGTGTGTTCATGTGCTCATGTGTGTGCACATGTGGGGGGAGGTAGTGAGGGGGGTGCCTGGGGCTGGTGGTCAGGAGTGTGGATCTGGTGCCCATCTGCCTAGGTCCGATCTAGCTGTATGACCTTGGGCAAGTCACTGAATCTCTGTTCTTCACTGTCCTCCTCTTAAAAATAGAAATAATAATAACACTACCTACAGGATGGTTGTGAGATTAGACAGTGAGTACAGACACAACGCTTAGATCACCACGCACCTGCCATGTGATATGCAGATTAGCTCTTATTTTCATTTGCCAGGCAAGACCCTGTGCTAGGCCCTGGTAAGAGTTTTACAAGCAAGTGCTTCTCAAATCCCCCTGGGTGATGTCATCACCCCCATTTCACCAATGAGGAAACTGAGCCTTAGAGGAGCCAGGTGCCTGGCCCTGGGTCAGCAGGGTTTGGTAGAGTCAGGTCCCCAGCCCATGTCTGTCCAGAGCCCCAAGTCCAAGCACCCTCCCAAGGGCAGCCTGGTGCACCTGCTGGCTCTCCCACATGCCACCATCTACACACAAAGCTGCTGTTGTCAAGGTTAGGTGGGGAGCAGGGAGGGCACGTCTGCCTGGCTTGGGTGAGCGTGTAGTTTTCCTCCACATAATTACGTGCATAACAATGGCGGAGGGCTGCAGGCTCGCTGGTGCCTAGGCCTCCGGAGGTGCCTGTGTGCGGCTCGTGTACATACTCTTGCAGCTGGCTGGACTGTAGCCCCCAACCAGGGTCCAAGTGGGGGCATCTGTTTAGATACAAAAGGGACTGCCCCCCACAAAGGAATTCCTCTGCTCACTCCACCCTGTCTGTAAATCTTCCTTTCAGGCACACAATTAAGCCCACACATGATACCCGGAAAATTGTATGTAGTTAGTCTTGGTTGCAGAGTGAAGGGGTGTCCAGACACAGAAAAATGATAATGTCCATTTTCTGAAGGCCTACTCTGTGCCAAGTACTTAATCCTCCCTCTAACCCTGGGAGAACTGAGCATGGAATCTGGTACATAGTAGACATTTCATAGCTTTTTTTTTTTTTAATGAACGAATGACACAGGGACTAGCACCGTGCCCATTTTGGGAAAATTGAGGCTTGGAGCCGGTATAGTGATTTTCCCACAATTCTACCACTGAGCCAGGATCCAAACACAGGCCTTCTTTGATTCCCCAGCCCGGTGCTTTCTGCTGCAGCTCTTCATGGAGTATTGGGAGGAAATTAAATGCCCCTCTCTGGCCCTTAAGGTTCAAAGGAGACTCATGACAGGCTGGGGTGGGGAGGACATTGGCTTAGCTGATAAATGGCCAGTCTATTTGCAAGACTGTGTAGCCCAGAGAGGCCTGTCTGAGCACTCACCTTCCTCCCTCCACAGCCTTCCAAGCCTCCCCACTGCCTCAGGAGGAAGTCTTACTCCTTCCAGCTTGTCCCCAAATGTCCCTCTAACCTGATCTCCCCTAGTCCCTGTGACGTGAGCTCATCTAGCTGATCTCCCAGTTCCTGAACTTGACCTCCAGGCTCCAGGATTCTGTCGTGTTAGATGGCCACCGTCCTGCCCTGGAGCTCCCTCTAACCATTCCAAACTCATCTTCTTTGTCTTTGCTTGGGGCACCTGGGGGAGCCTGTGCTTGCCCCCAGAGCTCCTTAGTCCTCAAGCCCCTGACTCAACCCAGGCCCACACAGACCTCGATCTCCCATCAGACTCGCTCACGAAGGACCAACCTACTCCTTGCCCAGGTGGGACTCATCTCTGCCTCCTGGATAGGGGAGGGTGTGGCCCACATTCTAGAACAGCACAACCGCAAAGAGGGAAAGAGGAAGGGATGAAATGGGTGAGCTGGACTCCAGAAACAATCATGGGCTATATCCTATTCCTTCCCCTTTCAAGATGAGTGATGTTGAGAAAGTCACTTCTCTCTGACCTTCAGTTTCCTCATCTGTAAACCAAGTATAACATCTCGTGGAGGGGGTGCAAGGCAACAATATGAAGCACATTCTACTCTCCCCAGTACAGGGACCAGGTCTGTATTTCCCAGGTGCCTCCCATGCTAGGTGACCATCTCCTGGGCTACCTCGTCATTTCTAGAACACATCACATTTGTTCCTTCCTTTGCAGGTGCCGTGCCTGCTCCCTGGAATGTTCTTTCCTACTTCTTTGCCTGGTTGGCTTTCACTTATCATTCTGATCTCAGCTCATTTGTCAACTCCTTGACCACTCAATCCACAGTGGCCCCTCAATTCTTCTCCTGTTACTCGGTTTATTTTCTTGCTAGCTCTTATCAGCAAGGATCTCATTTAACCATTTGTGATTGGGGTTAACAAATGTCTAACCACTTGTTGACTGTGTCCTCCCAGAAGGCAAAGTCCTGGCAGGGACCGCTCTTATGACCGCTGTCCTCTTGCCTGGGGCAGTGCTGGACATGACTCAATGCACAGTTGTTGACCAAGTCCAGGACGTGATCCCTAGAACTCGGGAGGGAGCTGGGATGTAAGCTGGGCTCTGGGCAGCTCATGTGGCCAGTGAGGACCCCCCCTTCTGTCTCCCACAGTCCCTCGCTGGCCTCCCATTTCCACGGTTGCCCCCTACAGACTGGATGTGGTCCCCAGCTCTGCCCTTGGCTGAGTCATCTCAGCGTCCCGGCCCTGGCTCAGGGCCGGGCAGGAGGAGGAGTTGGGTAAATGTTTGTGGTGCTAAATTGGACTTGTCTCAAGCGCCTCACTGCCTCCACATCAGAGGAGCCCCAGGGAAAGGGCCAGCAAAGCGAGATGAAAGAAGGTGAGAAGCAGGTTTCAAAGTTGGCCCTTTCAGTGCAGATAAAAGCAGGAGGGAAGGAGCCCAAGGAGGGAAGAGGGAGAGACTGAGAGGGGGTGTGCGGGGTGATTGGAGAGGAGGGGAGCAGACAGGAGCCCTGACCTGGGAGGTAAGGACTGGGGGGCGGGGAGGGGTTACACGGGAGTGGGGGTAGAGAGCTGCCTTCCTTACCTGGGCCACAGTTTCCTGACAAACAGGGTGGTAACATACTCCGGGGAGGGGTCTAGATCTAAGGCCCAGGCTGGGGGGGATGCTGAAAGGCTGTTCCCACAGCCGGGGTGGAAGGGTGCTGGGGAGGTCAGAGGCAGTGGCTGGGTGGTTTTGGCTGGGAGAAGGGCTGAGGCCACCCAGGCATTCCAAACTTCTGAACCGACTCTGAGCTCCTCAGCCTGCCCTTTAGGCCTGTCAGCCTTCATTTGGCTGCCTCGTGTCCCTCAGTCCACTGTCGCCTCTGCAATCTGCTCTTCTCCAAGTGTATTTGCCACTCTTCTGCCGTCACTCGTCTGCACAAGCTGGTCCTTCCTCCACCTGCAATGCTCGTCCCTTCCTATTATACCTGTCCAGACCCAGATACCCGGCTCCATTCCATTCTTGTGTCCTCTAGGAAGTCTTCAGAACCCTGAGGATACCCGCCCCCCATTTGGGACCCTATGGGCATTTAAGCAAGATGGCACATTTGTGTCCTCACCCAGCTGCCAGGCCAGGCGCACAGGATGCACACTGTGCAACGTTGAGCGAACCATTCCCACAGGCAGGGATGAGAATGTTGCCCATCTGGAATTGCTCAGCACAGAGCTGGGCACACCTTGGCTCAGGGCCACTCAGCAACTCCATGCAGGAGTAACTTTAGGGAGGAAGCAGGGAGCCCTGCAACCTCCATCCATCCACTGAGGGCCATGCCTCCCACCCCGACCTTCTCTGGGTCAGTTTCTGCTCTGATGTGCCTTCTCGTCTCTTCTAGCTGACCTTCTGCCAGCCTGGGCCTCAGTCAAGGACTCCCCAACCTGTGCAGCCCCCAAACCCTCCCAGGGACACTGACAGTGCCGGAGCAGCCCCTCCTCTCACCTGCCTCTCCCCAGCCCCCCTCCCTCACCCTATGTCTGCTTCTCTTTCTTCCCTTCTCTGACTTTCTCTCCAAGTCTCCTCTCTCTGTTGCTACATTCTACACCCGTAGGTCTATTTAAATCACTCTCTCTTCTTGCCGCTGCCTCCCCTTGCCCTCCAATCTCTTCCCTCTCCAAAAAAAGAGATGTCTTTCTACATCTCTGCGATTCTTTCTCTGCCTCATTTCTCAGTCTTTTCTCCTAATACATGTCTTTCATTCACCACACCCTCAATGAGTGTCTGTTCAGATCTGGGGCTTGTATTTTAGGGTGAGGAACAAAAATCAGAAAACTCGGTAGCGTGCTAAATGGGGTGGGACTGATGAGGGCAAAGCAAATGGGAAAAGGATGTTGGCGGTGGGGCTGGGGGTGATATTTTGGAAAGAGTGGCCAAGGGAGGCCTCGCTGAGAAGGCGACTCCTGAGCAAAGACCTGAAGGAAGTGAGGACAAACCACCAGCATGTTAAGGGAAGAACATTCTGGGCAGAAGGATCAGCAGTTGCAAAGGCATATCGGTGGGGCTGTGAGGGCTGGTGTAGTAGAGAGAACCAGGGAAGGGAGGCAGCGGGAGGTGATTTGAGAGGTTCTGCTAGGGGCTGAGCTCATAGAAGGTGTGGGTTGCTGGGAGGGTGTTGGTTTGAGTCTGCGCCAGCTGGGCACCTCTGGGGGGGGCTTAGAGGAGTGGGGGGTAAGCTTTAATTTACATTTGGGCAGGCTCTATCTGGCTCTTTACCAACCTCAGATTAACCAGTAGGGAGCATAGAAGTAAGGAGACAATCAAGCAGACAACTGCAATAATCCAGGCAAGAAATGGTGGTCTGGCCTGGTGGTCTCGCCCTGTGGGCGCCGGGATGCTGAGAAGCGATCAGACTCCCAAGCTTTTAAGAGATGACAGGACCTACTGCTGATGGAGTGGAGAAAGCCAGGCGTCAAGTCTGTTCTAGCACTTTTCACCTGAGCAACAGCAAACACAGACTTGTCCTTTTCTGTCCAGCGGAGATCCCAGGGGGGAGTGGCTTAGAGGCAAAGTTGGGGTCCCAGAGAGCAGCTGGGGCATCCTAGGCACTGGATGAACTGGCCGAGGGAATCTGGGTGGACGCCTGCGCCCTTCACCCTTCTCTACCTGTCACACCTGGTTCTCCCCCCTGGGCTGCACCCACTCCCGCTTGCTCTGTCTCCTCTGCGCCCACCTCTCCCCTCCCCCACACCATCTGCTTCCCCTCCCCTCCCCTCCCGCCCCGCCCCTCCCCCTCTGCCCGCAGTGCTGCGGGCGCCGGCCCGGCCCGGCAGGCGGGAGAGCAGGCAGCAGGCGTGGCCCCGGGCGGGGGTCTCACCGGACGGGCCGGTTGGCGGCGTCGGGGTCCCGCGCCGTCACCACGCCGACCAGGGAGCCCACCTGCGCGTCCTCCTGCACCTCCAGGAGGCCAGAGGGCGGCTGGAACTCGGGGGGCTCATCCACGTCGGTCACGGCCACGCGCACGATCGCCTGGTCGCGGAAGGTGCCCAGGTCGGCGAAGCGGGGGTCCACGAACTTGTTGAGCGCCTCCAAAACCACAGTGTGCACGGGCTGGGACTCGAAGTCCAGGCGCTGCAGGGAGGGAGCAGAGGTTGGTTAGTGGGCTGGGGTCTGCTCTGACACTGACAAATTCCAAGTCAGGGAGGTGGGCCCAGAGGGGTAGCCTGGCTCCAGGTCACACTTGGACGCTGACGCACCTGGGACATAGAGACCCAGACCAGAGTCTCTGGTTACAGGTGGAGAAAGTGAGCCCTGCCCGGGAGGTCCTGGCTCAGGACTGGCTTCCGTGCTAACTGCTACTGACACACCGACTTCCCACCTCCTAGGGCTGTATGTTGGCACAGCCCATCAATTTATTAACTTGCAAGGCACTTATTATATGACAGACCTTTATATGTTAATTCATCTCATTTTACAACAGCCCTATGAGGCTTGATTATATCATTTTAGGAAACTGAGGTCTATACCTTGCCCAAGGTCACTTAGCCATTGGTCTCTAGCAGTGCCAGGACCAAAGCCAGGCAGCAGAGCTCCCAAATCCTGGCCGTTCCCCCAGGAAAGGGCGCTGGCTCTGCTGCAGACTGGCTGTGTGTCTGTGGGCAATCTGTGTCGCCTTTCTGGGCCTCAGTTGGAAGGTTAAATGAGAGATTCCCTGGTACAGAGGCGCTGGCAGCTAATGTGAGCTGCGCCTGAGAAGCCAGGCTGCCTTAGAGCTTTCCTGGGAGATCTGGCTAAACCCATGCTGAGCTTTGCTTCTCAGCTGGGAGTGCTAATGGGAGGCCCTCTGATGAATGAGCTCCGTGGCTGTGTGCTGGCCTGGTCTTCTACAGTCAGTGCCTGAGAGCAAAGAGAAACAGGCAGCCCAGTCAGGTGGAGGGGCGCTAACTTCCTAGAGACCAGTCCCAGGTGTGCTGTTCCTCCCTCCGCCACCCCACCTGCTCCAGCAGCAGTACTGGCCACCTCCTTCCTCTGTCCTGTTGTCTGGGAAATCAGGATGCAGGGAGCAGGTCTTAGTGGGCCCTGGAGTCAGGTCATCAGCCTCGGGGGGGCTCTGCTCCCTGAGCTGTGGGGCCTCCAGAGGCCCTGCAGGTCCCACCGAGCAGGCAGGAGGGGGCCTGGGGAGAACAGGCAGCACTGGGGATGAGAGCAAATGCTCGCAGCCCCAAAATGGAGTCTGGGGCTGGGCTTGGGGCCTGACTGATTTCTCATGCTGGGCCTCTCTGCGCTCCAATCCCATCTGGAAAATGGGCTTAACTTACAGTGAGGACAGATGGCTCAGGAGACTGAAAACCAACTGTTTAAAAGGGTGGATTCTGGAGCCAGACTGCCTGGGCCCATATCCCTGCTCTGTTCTGCCAGGTGCATGATCTTGACCAAATTATTGAACTCTTGGGGCCTTATTTTCTCACCTATACATGGGCAATGATGGTTCCGCACAGGGTTGGTGTAGGGATGAATGTGTCAATACACAGAAAGCTGTCAAAGGGTGCCTGGCACATGGTAAGCACTTTAAATATTAGCTTAAATTTTTATATTTTATAATAATTTTAGAAATTACTATACTTTATAAATTATATTATCGTCACTTGGGAAATAGCTGAAGGACTAGGAGTTTTCTCTGTCCTCAAACCCTTCAAAGCCAGGTAGAGTAAAGGGCCATCAGGGATAGCTTGTTTCTGTGGATCCAGAAGGCAGAGCCCAGGCTGACAGGAACAGATTTAGGAAGACATATTCTTGCTGAATGGGAGATGGCAGGGAAAGTGTCCATCCCTGGCCAGTGCAGAGGGCCTGGACCTCCAGCAGAGAGCAGGATTAGAATGGACAGTCTCAAGGTCTATGCAGCTCTGAGTTGCCAAGTCCATGGACAAGTCCTAGAAGATGGATTTTTGCTTATTGATTTGACCTATGTCACCATCCCCTCAGAAGCAGAGTTGGAGCTTCGGTTTCTGGCTCCCCCAGTAGACAGAAGGTAAGGGGAGCTGATAGACTCAGCAAGAAAAGACTCACAAGCCCTGGGTTCAAATCCCAACTCTACCCGTTACAGGTATGATCTTGGGGAAGCCCTTATACTTCTCTGAGTCTCTGTTTTCTCACTTGTAAAAACGGACATAATGATGTCTCCTTTAGAAGGAAACAAGGGTTAAAGAAAATGATGATTCTGAAGGGCCTGATATGAACTTGAAACACATTGTGCATTTATTGCACAGATTCAAATCTGGAGTAATCCTGACTTTGAGAACTAGCTGTGCAATCTTGGACAAGTCACTTAACCTCTCTGTGCCACATTTTCTCATTTGTAAAATGGGAATGATATGATCGGCTTTTTCCCAGTTGGTTCTGGGCCTCAAGAGAGATCTAATCCTTCGAGTAGAGTGGGGGTGGAGGGTATTTGACTGCTTAGAGGCCTCCCTGGCCCCACCACCTCCCCCTCTACCCCAATCTGCTTTTCCCATCCCTCCAGGGGCAGCCGCACCTTCTGCACTACGATGATGGCCTCTTGAGTGTCACTGTCTGTGGTGACCTTGAACACATGGCCGCCACTGCCGCTCTCCTCCTTGAGATGGTAAGTCATGTCTGTGTTCTCACCCACGTCCGAGTCCTCGGCCTTGACTCGTCCGATAGCTGTGCCGATGGGGGCCGACTCCTGAATGCTGAACTGGTACATCTCTGTAGGGGATATGGCTGTGAGCTTCTACCAGCTCTAGAGGAGATGGTAGGGGCACCCAGATGGACTCCAGGGAGCTCCCAGCTTGGCCAGTTAGGGAGCCAGGAGAGGAGCGTCCTCTGAAAATTTGAGAGGCAGTGCAAAGAGGAGGGTCCAAATTGTGACCCTGAGTTCATTTGCTCATTGATTTAAAAAGCGCCTGCAGTTCTTTGAGCCTCAGTTGCCCCATCTGCCCAAGGAGAGGAACAAAGGAACACAGCAATCGAGGCTAAGGTACTGGAGCCAGTCCTGGCTGTGGAGCCCTGACCCTTGGTGTCCTCATCTGTAGAATGGGCACAGTAACAGTGCCTCCTAGCAGTGTTGCGATCATCACTGTTAACTTGGAGGATCATGTACGTAAAGCGCTTGGGGATAGTGCCTTCCTAGCACATGGTAAATGGACCAAATCAATAAATGGAACAATTGCATTAAAATGGTGGGGTTTCATGCTGACTTTTCTGTTGCTGAGGATGTTAATCACATTGATTCCTTCATGTCCACGTATTTATCGAGCCCCTGTAATGTCCCAGATGCTGTTCTAGGTGCTGGGGTTATAATAACAAGCAAAACAGACCCAAATTGCAGCTCACACATGCTTTCCTCTTAATGGAAAGAGAAAGACACTATGCAGTCACATTTTCAAACAGGCAGTGTGTCAAACGGTGCTGGGTAATTTGGTGGAAAAATAATACTGGTAATGGGAAGAGGTGCGCTGATGAGGTGTGTGGGGGACTTTAAACAGGGTGATCAGAGAGGACTTGCTGCGAAGGTGACATTTTTGCAAATGTCTGAGGAAGGGGAGGGAGTGAGCCAAGCAGATATTTGGAAAGAGTATTCCAGACAGAGGGAGCAGCAGGTGCAAAGGCCCTGAGGTGAGTGCAATGCCTGGCATGTTTGAAGAATGGCAAGATGGCCACAGTGGCTGGAGGAAGAAGCATCAGGGAAACCAGAAGGGATGAGATCAGATGGGACTAAAACAGTGCCCTGTTCTTCTCCCAGAGTCAAGGTTGAGGTGACTTGCCAAAGGTTAGGCCAGCAGGGGCTGTGGAGATGAGGATGTGTCTCTTGGGGTACCCAAGGTCTGGAAACCCATGGTGTGAAGTGACTGCCTGATTCCTTCTCATACAGTAGCCAGGGGCTGATTCAAAACTGCAAGCTCCCCTGCTTTAACCTTCCATTGCTTCCCACTGCCCTTGGGATGGAGTTATACAAGCCATATGAGATGCTTGCTGCCTGGCCCCAGTGACTCCTGAGGCCTAGTCCCCCAACCCCCTCCCTGTCTCTAGCTTCAGCCTCTGTGAAGTTCTGTGATTGCTCTGTCTCACTTTCTAGGCATTCCCTAGTCCTCTTTATTCTGCTTTCTGCCTTTGTATCCTCAATTCCCATTCTTGCTTTGCTATCAATAACATTATCTCCTCCGGGGAACTGTCCAGATTTCAGGCTCTGCTCCTGTGCACCCAGGGCCCCCAGGCTTAGCCCATTGTAAAGATTACTGCATTTCCCTCTCATTTTCTGGTTATTCTCCATGGCCCCAACCCCACCGCTGTTCCCTCCTTGCCCTTCCCCTGCCTCCTGGATAATATTCATATCTTATTCATCAGCATTCTCAGTGCCTGGCAGAATATCAAACTGTCACTGAAATGAAATGTGTGAGTGATCAGTGAGCAAATGAATGAAAAGCAGAATGTTACACTCACCAAGTTAACATAAATTAAGAAGTCTGACAATACCAAGTGTTGGCAAGGATATGGACACACACACACCTGTCTTCATTGGGGAAACCAGCTTGGCTTGAGTTAGTACAGTTGAAGTGAGTACAGCAGGTCCTCAAATAATATCATTTCATTCAATGTTATTTTGTTAAAATGTTGATGAGGAAAAAAAATCTCAGTTGATACCTAACTTGTTATTTGAGGACCTGTTTTTGCTTGAAGACATGGTTTCCAGGAACCTATAGATGATGATAAGTGAGGACTTACTGCATATTCTACTCCTCTGTATATACACTTGAGAAATATGTGCAAGAGGGTGCAGGAAATGAGATGTGCCACAATCTTCAAAGTGGTGTCCTCCAAATAGCCCCAAATACCCATCAACAGTAGAATAAACCATGGAGTATTATATAGCAATGAAAATGAATAAATTATAACAAGCAACAACATATCATTTCATAAACATAATTTTGAGAGACAAAAAAAAATACAAATAGCCTGTATTCTGATTTTACATGTATTCTCTGTTAAAAGAAGTTGAAATTAAACTGCAATGTTAGGTGATGCATTCATAGGTGAATTCACCCTAAAGAAAGACAAAGAGGGGCCATCTTGGTGGTGCCAAGGAGTTAAGCACTGCACTATGAAGCAATCTGCAGCCTCTGCAGCATGAGTTCGATCCCCGGCCGGCTGGCCAGGAAGAAACCACATGGCGCAGCAGACCTCTCCTGTCTTGCCTGCTGCTCCCCTCAGCAGTGTATTTCATTCAGTCTGCCAGTTCTGCTCCCCACTCTGTCTCTGGTGGGTCCTCTCACCCCCGCCCCCCCGCAGCTCTTGTATGCATGAATAAATAAATCTTAAAAAAAAAAAGAAAGACAATGAGATGATGATTACAAAAGCAGGGAGATGGTGGTTACCTCTGAAGGGAGGGATGGGGAGGGAAGTAACACTGAGGGAAGGGCGCGTGGGTGCTTCTGGTGTCCTGGGTGGAACTCACAAGAATGTCTGCTTCATACTATTCATTGAATGGGGCATTTATATTTATACCCTTCTGTTTGGGCGCTATATGTCACAATAAAGAAATGTTAAAAATAAATAAAGGGATACAGAATGAATGATAATAGGCAAGATACCCTACCAGATAGGGCCCCTTCCTGGGGTTCTGGCCCTTTCTTCTCTGCTCTGCCCCAGCCCTTCCAGCTCAGAGATGGCATAGGACCTGGCACCAATGGGCAGAAGACTGGTAGCCCCCACCCCCTCTACCTGCTGCTTCGAAGCATTGCCATCAGTGGGTGGCGTTGGGCTGGCAGAGCAGGAGATGTGCTGGCTTCTGTGCCAGGCTCCATGGTGACGTGGAACTGGCTGGGGGGCTCTGCCCACCCCGCTGTGTGACTGGGCTGAGGCGCTAGGCGGGGATGATGCTGAGTTCTCAGCTCAGGGATTGGATCCCTTATCTCCCGGGGGTCAGTCCCCTGTGGCGGGGCCTAATGTGAGAGCAGCAGACCTCGAGTAATGACTCGCCCGATAGGAATCAACCCAGCTCCCTGCGGCATTTCGTCTCTGCCAGCTTCCTCAGCTTCCCTGGTGCCGCTCTTGGCCTGAGCCTGGAACAGAGGGGCTGAAGGGGCTGATGGGCAGGTGGGGGGCTGGACTAGACAACCCCTATCCCCTGGGGTGCCAGGAGAGGCAGAGTGGGGAAAGACTGAATTCAGTAGCACAGACTCCTGCCCTCCAGGCTCCAAGGAGGAGGGACAGACCTGTCACGCCCAGCCTCAGCCTTTCTATGCACGGTTATGGGTGCCCTGGCCTGGAATGCCTGTGGCCTCTGTCTGCATCATTTGTTTCTCCCCACTTCCCTTTGCAAGCATGGGCCAGGCAGACCACCTGCAATAGGCAGGTAAGGGTGTATGCAGGGGCCAGTGAGGGGGCTGGTGGGTAGACAGAGGGGCTCAGGATGTGCAGGAGGCAAAGTGAGGGGACGGGAGGTGACCGTCTTATTGGACGTATGGAAAATCAAACCACTGTGGAGCTTCCTCTGTGAAAAGCATGACCGGGGGGACTGGAAGGAGGTGGGTGGCTTGGGTGGATAGACAGACGAGACAGATGGGAGTCCCTCTTTTGGTGGGAAGCTGAAAGGGAAGCTTGGGGCCCCTAGATGGCTTGGAAGGATGAACAGCACACACCCAACACTGCCTGCCTCTCCCCGCACATGGAGGCCCAGTGGGAGGGGTGCTGGTGTGGGTGGGTGGCTTGGGCGGCTAATGGACAGACACACGGATGCGGTCCCCTCCCTCCAGTAATGGAGGGCCTCACTCACTCTGCGGGAAACGGGGTGGGTTGTCATTGACATCGGTGACCACGATGGTGACGGTGGTGGAGCCTGAGAGGCCGCCCAGCTGACCTGCCATGTCTGTGGCCTGGATCACCACCTCGTAGCGCTCCTGGCTCTCGCGGTCAAGGTCGGGCACAGCAGTCCGGATCACGCCTGTGGGTGAGGGAGGGTGAGGCCAGGGGTGCCCCCTGCCAGCTGATATGGAGACCCCTCCCCCAGCAGAGGCTGGGCTCATCCAAAGTCAGAAGGTTGAGCGGCCAATGTAGGAGATACAGATAGGACCACAGCGTGGGCGCAGGGGCTCAGCAGCACCCCACCTTCACTCATATGGATGTGCCCCCACAATACACACACACATACACACAACTATCACACTTATACACAGTCCACTTTTACACCTCTCACACACACATGCACACTTGCACAAGTCTATCGACACACTATCTTCACCCATCTTCAACACGCACACACACTTGCGCACACATATTTTGAAACACACTCACAAATGCACATACAGGTGTGAGCCTAGTCACAGTTGCAAAGTTAAAGCAAATGAATGGACTATTTGACTAAAAAGAGGCCTAGGGACTAGATTTGGCCACTGTGTGACCCCACTCTTGGGGCCACTGTCTGTCCCCAAGAGGATGAGCCCAGTGTTCTGTGGGTGAGCTGGGCCTGGGCCCAACTTGTCTCGGGCACAACAGCAGCCCAAACGGGGCACAGAGCAGCACCTGGTGAGTGTTCAGCAGATCTAGTGGATACCAGACACACACTCATACTCTGCCCACTCACACTGGGTCACACTCTCCCATCCACACACACTAGCCACATGTGCTAAGTGCTACATATATGCAGACACACATGGGGTCTCAAACACATGCACACTCATAGCTACTCTCACACACTAACCTTCATGCCCCCTCTGTGATTAGGTCACCCCCACAAGCCCCCAGGCTGGCCTGAGAATCTCTGTCCAGGCACCAGCTAATCGTTGATCAGACAGTCCTTCAAGCTATTCATGGAAGTGGGGGCAGGGGTAGCAGGAATGGGGGTGACTCCAATTCTGCTGAGGGGAAGGCTGCTTCTTGTCTCCCTGCCAGTGGGCAATCAGGCTGGGGCTGGAGGGGGAGTCGATGAGGCATCCCGAACTCCACCCCCATCCACTCCAACCTGCTGAGGACCAGGTGGTGACAGGTGGTGCCCAGGGCCTGAGCGCCAGGTGGAGTCATGCACCAGCAGCCCCATGATGCGCCCCATAAAATCCAATCTTTGACTCCTGATGTCCCCAAATAGCCCCCAGATTCCAATAAAGGCAGTAGAACGGAAGGAGAGAGTGTAGTGTGCGTGTGCGCGTGTGTGTATGTGTGTGTGTTGTGCCAGGGTATGGTACCTAGGAGGTAGCTCTGCTTTTGTGGGATCACATGGTGATACGAAATGTGGGATCTCTCTGGTCAAGGATCAAACAGACCCCCTATCAGCAGTCTGGGCAACTCCTCCATAGGCTTCCTCTTCACCCCTCCCCTGCCAGGACTCATCTTCCCAGGGACAAGGGATCTTAGAGCAGAGGAACCTGGGATCCCAGATCTGCCATATTTTGGCCTCATGATCTTCAGCAAATCCTGTCACCTCTCCATATACTGGGACAACAACTACAAATCCCTGAAGGACAAGATTGCTCAACCTTGGCACCACGGACATTTTGAATAGGAAAATGCTACCCATGATACCAGTAGCAGCACCCTCTCCTTGCCAACCCTGAAATGTCTCCAGACATTGTCAAATGGCCCCTGGAGGCAAAATCGGTCCCACTTGCTAGGGGCTAAGCTTCATGAATGTCACGTGACACCTGGGTGAAGAGGCTGGTGATGGGATCAGGGCCACGTGCATCCATGAGCTTGTGCAGTACAAGCTCAGTGACCCCCACTCTGAGTGGGGTGTGGAGCAGAGATCTGTGTCTGAGACCCACCCTGGGGTTGAGAAGCCAGGTTTGCGAGGCTGGGCTCCTTGCTGTCCCTGCCACTTCCAGTCCTGCAGGACTGGGGGCACTGAACTTGCTCACTTGGGCACTGTTCCTGAAGTCTGTACAGTGTGTGATCAGGTGCCATCTCTGGCAGCAAGGAGGTGGGTACCCAGAGACTATGCTATTTCCAAACCCTGCCCCTGTCATACCCAGTGACAGGTTGCTATGGTGATAGGTCCCAATGAACCCAGCCTCTTGGCATGCACGCCTGTGGGTCATCCCCTTCCACACAGGCTTGGCCTTGTTAGTTCTTATCACTATTGTCATATGCATGGACTTGCTATGGCCAATGGAACATCAGTACATGTGACAAAAGCAGAAGTTTGACCAGCTCTCATGTGCTGGGACCTGGCCTCCTGGAACCCTGAGACAGCTGTGCTGTGAAGAAACCCAGGATGACAGGCCACCCCACAGAGGCTGGGCCACACCAGCTGTCCCACCTGAGTCAGCCCCAACAACCCGCCAGCTTGACTGTTGTCCTGTGAGTGATCCCAGCCAAAGAAAAGTCCATCACGCCCACAGAGTTGTGACAAAGAATAAGTTGTTTTAAGCCACAGTGTTTGGGGGGCAGTCCCCCAGAGAGCAGAAGACAGCAGGTAGGGAAATGTCACCCCAAGCCCCTTCCTTTGCTGGCCTCGTTCAGGCCGCTGCATTAAACTGGAGGGTCCCTGGCTGGAAGGTCGATGCGGGCAGTTAACCTGGCTGTTGGCCGCAGCTTCTCTCAGCCTCTGGTGAGCTGGGCTGGCTGCCTGATTAGGAGCCTCAGGACCAAGCAGGGGTCACTCACAAGAGAGAGGAGTGAAACTTGCAAGCCTCAGCTGGGGGTCACTTCTGCCACATCCTGTTGGCCACAGTGTGTGGCCAGGCTCTCCCAGATTCAGGGGCTGGAGAGACCCTTCCTCCTGGTGGAGGAGGGGCAGTCCTTTACAAAGAGGCCAGGGATGGGAGTGTGGTCAGTACATTTTGCTATCTGCTCTGTCCCACTCCACTGTACCCCCAATGCTGGCAGAAGCATCCTGGAGGCTGGTGCAACCCGGGAGGGGCGGGGATGGTCTGTGGTAGCAATCCCAGATCAGTCAATGAAGTTGTTCTTGAAACCTTCTGGTTCTGCAAATTCATTCACTCATTTGATAGATCCTTACTGAGGGCCTACTATGTGCTGGGGTTAGAGTCAGATATAAGGGGCCATGAAAAAGGGAGGGACTTTGGAGTGAGAAAGATATGCACTGAAGTCCTTTTTCCATCATTTTTATGCTTGGGCAAGTTCTTGAGTCTTTCTGAGCCTCAGTTTCTCATTCTGAAAAATGGGGGGTGCCCAGTGGTAGGGCTATTGGAGCTTCTGGAAGCAGGTCTCACATTTTGCAGATGCCTCCCTGATGCCGCTCCTCAAATCCTGGCTGGGTACCCCATAAATAAGTTCCACAGGGACTCTGGTCTTGTTCATCATCTTATCTCTAGGGCCTGGCACATGGTAGGTGGTCAAGAAACTGCCAGAATCTCCCTCTCACAGCTTGCGGGTAGCCATAGACTTGTTTTGGCAACTGTTGGAACAACAGCCCCATGAGGGCAGAAGCCAGATCTAGTTCACCATCTTGACCCTGGGACCTAGCATTTAGAACATGTGCATCAAATGTCAATTGCATTTCCTCCCAGAAAAACTAACACCTCTGACCCAGTTGAGAATTATCAGCCGATATCCTGAGACTTCTCTCGGAGAGCCATTCTGTTTGTGGACTTGGTGGGCGGGGGCTGGTAATTAGAACCTGGCCACTGCTCCCTGCAGCCTTGTCTTCCTTCACCCATCCTCCCCAGTTCCAGCTGCTGTCCTCACCACCCCCGCTGTCCCCTCCAAATGCTGCAGAAGGGGCCCTGGAGCCCGAGTGATGCCTCATTAGCCCGCAAATGCCATCCCTGTCGCCCCGGTGGGGGGCTTGCTGGCAGGCCTGGCCTTTAAAACACACAAGTTAATTCCTCCTCTGGCACTGGGCCTCGTGGCGCCCCGCCTCCTCCCTTCCTCACACCTTCCTCGCAGGCCCCGTTCCGGCTCTGCTCCCTGCTATCTGCACAGCGAGAACAGACTGTACCTCGCAGCGGCTGCTAAATATAGCCCCGCATCAGCGGAATATTCCTGGCTGGGGAAATGGAGCTGGGACTGGCGGTGGCACCAGGGTGGCTCCGCAGTGGGGCTGAGGCAGGAGGGAGTTCTGGTCCTTCCCGGGAAATGTCATCTCAGACACTTTCAGACTTGGATGTTGAGGGATCCTAGAACAAGGACCCTGTTTGCACCTGCCTAGCCTGGTACCCACTTGCTGGCTCACTGAGCACCATTCCTCCCGGGCTCCAATGCCCCCACTTCCCACCCTCCTCTCGACCCTCTGTGGGGAGGGTCGTTCTGTTGTAGTCTGAGCCTTTATCTTTGCACCCCTGCCACCTCTGGACTCAGTCCTGGCCCTCCCCTTATTTCTATGTTCTACCTCTTCCTCTCTTCTCAAAAGCAGATCAACTCTCAAGCTCCCCACCTCCGCAGACTGAAAGGATGAAGGCATCATCATCATCATCATCCCTTTGTTTTCTATTTATGTCCCAGCATCACTGTCCCCTCGGCCTGCATGTTCTCTCCTAGACATGGGGAAACCCACACCCTCACTTCACTCAGGCCTAGGGTCACCTCCCCAGACAGTCCTGTCCTGATTTCTTCATCTAAGCCCATCTCTTTCCTTATATCCTGCTTTGTGTTTCTTCCTAACACACTTTGCCATTTGGATTATATTGTAAGTTTATATGCATATCTTCTGTATTCCTTACTTGAATAAAAGTTCCATGAGAGTAGGGTCTTGGATTTGCCTCCTGCTGCCTAGAACAGAGCCAGGCACATAGTAGGCACTCAGTGGAGTTGCTGAATGAATAAGTGAGCTCTTCCATTGAATCCTCACAACCATGATGGGAGATGGGTATTATATTCCTCTGGTGTACCCAGGGAAAGCAAAGCTTAAAGACCCCTAGCCATCCTCAGGGTCTCAGACCCATATTTCAGAGGGCCTGCTAGGTGTTCTAGGTGTTTCTCCTCTCTCTCAAGTCCACTATGATTAAAATGGAATTATTTAGCTCTACATCAGATCCCAGGACATTCGCTCATTCCTCTGCTCCTAGATACTTTCTTAATTCACAGTACTCCTGTTTCTATAGGTGGTGCCCCCTTCTCAGCTCAGGCTCCCAGTCTAGAAGCCCCCAGATTCCTGCCGCAATCTAGTTCTGTACATTCATCCAGGTCCCCAAGGTTTGCCCTGTGCGGGGTCTCGCTGTCATCCCTCATTGTCCCTCCTCAGCATCTCAACTAAGTCTCACTACCAACCCTATTTCATCTGGGGCCGCTAATTGGATGAAGCAGGCTAAGGAGTCTGGATGGGTGCCAAGATAGGGTGCAGGCTTTGGTCTTTGTCCTTTAGGGCTCTCTGCTGGGCACCCCAGTTTCCTGAGTCTCCCTGAATTCACTTCCTGCCTCTGAGCCAGCGATACAGCAGCAGCCCGAGGGATCTTGTTAAAATGAAAACCTGAGCATGTCACTTCCCTGCTTAAAAGTCATCAATGAACCCACGATGTTGGTCAGGAGGAGGGGCCAGGCTCTCTAGCAGGAGACTCTTAGGAGCGTCATCTGGTACATTTCGGCATTATCTAGCCAGACTCCAAATGCACCTGCTCTTTGACCCAGCTTTTCCTCTTCTCGAAAATTATCCTGCAGTTATACCCACAAAAGCACAAACGACATATGTATGAGGTTATTCACTGCAGCATTGTTTGTTGTAGCCAAAGATTGGAAACAGTGTCCGTGTCCATCAATAGGGGACTGGAGAGACAAATTTTAGAGTATCCCTAACAGCTGTTAAATAAAAGAAGGAGGAAGCTCTTTATGTACTGATATGGAATAATCTACAAGATGTATTGTTAAGTGAAAAAGGCGAGCGGTGTGTACAGTGTCTTTATAGCTGCCATTTGTGTAAAGAAATAAAGCAAATACATGTACCTATTTTCTTGTACATACATAGAATAGCTCGGGAAAGACACACAAGAAAATTACATTGGTTGCCTTGGGGACACAGACTGGGTAGCCGGGGGACTGGACAGGGTGAAGAATTTCCATTAAACATCCATTTGGACTTTCTGAATTTTGAACCTTCAAATGTATACTCTATTAAAAAAACTTAATATTTTTCAAGTGAATGAGTCCAAGATTTCACGGAATATATACACCAAGAGGCTACCTTTGGAGTTGCAATTACTGGGGATGGGAGTGACAAGCACTTTCTTTCCTGCTTTCTTATTTCTTTAATGTTTGAGTGTTTTCTACAATATATTACCTTTGCAAGGAGAAAAGAATAATGAAGATATTTTGTGAAAGAGAACACAATAACCCTGTTCATAGACCGGCATCCTCAACCCCTTCCGGAATAAAAACAAAACAAACACACAAATGAAAACTCCAACCTAAATCCATCTCCCCCCACCCCCACCTTGACCTTAGAATAAAATCCTGGTTTACACTTGGCTCAGTCGTGCAGCCTCTCAGCGCCACTTCTCAGCACACTGGCTCCCCCCAATCCTGAGTTGCTTGCAATTCCCCTCATGCCTCAGGCTGTTCTCTCCCTCCCAGTTCTGCAGGCACCATGCCCTCTCCCTGGAGCGCCCTTCTCTGAATCTTGGTTGGCCCAACACCTTTTTCTGCTTTGGAGATCTGATGCTTCTCTTCTGAGAACCTCGCGTCCCAAACATGGGTCTGGATGCCTGTCCCCTGCCCCCAGAAATCAGTCAGCCCCACGTCGTGTTGGATAAACATCTGGGTCTGGCGTTTCACCTCTTGCCTTCACTCCTGGTGTCCCTTAGTCCAGGGACACCCCCTGGGAGGGGAGCCCACCCTTGCAACCGGCCACTCCCAGCTGTGCAACCTCCAGCGAGGCAGTCACGGCTCTGAGCCTCAGTCTCCTCTGCCTGACACTCCTGGAAAGCCACTCAGGAGCTCCACCAGGTTGAGAGAGGATGAGCCGGGGGCTGCGGCAGGGGCGCTGCGCCCTTGCTTGCTGGCCTTGGGGAAGGGTAGGCGCGAAGGAGCCATTCTTCTTTAATGGGCCCTGTCTTTCCATCAGATCTTTAACAACTGCCATTTGAACTGAGCTTTCCAGACTGCTCAAAGGTGCCCTTCGCCAGCCGCCCTGCAAACACTTAGAACCGACCCCATAATGGCTACGGACACACCTGTCTCAAGGATGTTTAGCTTTAGCTCCAAGGATGCGGAGCCCTTGGTTCAGGCCTGAGAAGTTCTTTCCGGGAACCCACAGTGGCCGCGTCCTGCCTGGTTTTCCTCCTGGTCTTCAGGCATCTCCCACCCCATTCTTTTCTCTTCCTCTGTCCTCCCGCTTCCTGCCTGGCTGACCCCCCTGTCTCCGTGACCTTGGGGTTTCCTGGAGCTGGCAAGATGCTTCGGCGTCCTTGCTCGACAGCAGCGCGGTGTGGTTAGAAGGCGGAGAGCGGCCGGCCAGCCCGGGGCTGCGCCCCACAGCGCCCGCTCCCTGGGCACGCCCAGGCCCCACCCCAAGAGTGCTCGCCCCGCCCCGCCCCGCCCCCGGCCCGCCCTCACCTGTCTTGGAGTCCACGGTGAAGTGGTGCTCGCCGTCCAGCACGCTGTACACCAGCCGAGCGCTGCTGCCGTAGGTGGGGTCGTCCGCATCCGAGGCCATCACCTGCATCACGGAGGTGCCTGGGCCCGAGGGACCAAGCGGGGCAGGGTCAGGGCCCGGGGCTCCTCCAGCCCCAGGGAGTCCCCGCCGGATTCCCCACCCAGGCCTGGGCCGCGGTTCCAGAGGACCAAGCTGTCGGGACTGGAGTCAGACGTCCCTTGGGGGGTCCCCAGCTGCGGGCCTCTGCAGGGGAGGCCGCCTCTCTGAACCTGGTTCCTGTTCAGCAAAGTCGGGCCCAACCCCGGCCCTCGTGCAGGAGGTGGAGGGCGTGCATTTTAGCCTCCCAGGGCGAAGCAGCCCCTCCTGTGGGGTGGGGGCGGCGCCTGCACCCGCCCAGGGCGCCACTGAGCCAAAGTCGGGACTGGAAGCACGTCCTGGCTCCCAGCGCCGCCTTCCTCAGCCCCCTCCACCCGGCAGGAGCCCTGGGGACAGCCTGGGGCAACCAAGTTTACGGGGGACTCAGAGGCCAGGGTGGCTTCGCCCAGGCGGGGGAGGGCAGCGCCCCGCTTCCCGGTCCTGCACCCAGCTGCCCTCCCCGCCCCTCCCCCAGCGCCCAGACAGCCCCGCCCCCGGGCACAGCCGGCTTTTCCACATGCACCGCACGTTCGCTTCTGGGGAGAGTATAAATTGGATAAAAGTCCATCAAACAGTGGCAATTAAGTTATTGATTTTCGACGCTGCCTCATTAAACCGGGAGCTTCTCCCGGCCTGTCCCAGAGATGGCTCTAATTTGACATCATGTTCAATTTGACCAAAGCAGGGTTTGGGATGTGAAGCTGGACAGGATCGGGGTGAGGCAAGGCTTGGGGGAAGGGGCGAACGGAGGGGAAGGGAAAGCCCTGGGGTCCAGGTGAGCCTTTCCAGAAAGGAGGGGGCGAGGTTTCCACTCCCAAGGAGGAGTCTGGGGAAGCTCAGGATATAATCCAAGGTGCAGGAGACTGAGACTTCACTTCGGAAAGAGGCCGTCTTCTGGTGCCCCGCTGGTGAGGGCCAGGGCCCAGGCCTCGCGGGGTTCTGGGTGGGCCCCTCTTGGGGCTGGGCTGGCTCTCTGGGATGGCAGAGCAGCTGCTGGGAGGTGAGGCCAGTTCACCGGCTGGCTAATGAGCGAGGCTCTGAAGTGCTACTGCAGCAATTCTGCTAAGCCCAGCCCACCGCAGCCTCTCCCGCCTCCAGCCTGGGGCCCTCGATCATTCCAGACAGACACATGTATTTATTTTTCACTCTTTTGCATTTCTCATTTCCCTCTCCGTACCCCCCTCCCAGCCTGAGCTCCTGAACCGGCCCTGCAATGCGCTTCTCTCTTTGGCAGCTCCACCTCCATGTCAACCCTGTCAGAGCTGCCGGAGATGCTGGGGAAGTGGCTTGGGCAAGCTCCCTCCTGCCTCATGTTTGGTGCCCAGAGGTCTCCCACTCAGGGCCAAGGGCACAATCGATCGCAGGTGCTTCCTAAATACAGCACGAGGAGAAAGGAATAAACTAGATTGGCTTCACCAGCTCCTTAAACTGATCACGTCTAATCCTTGTAGCATCTAAGGGTGGGTACCTCTAAATTACAGGTGAAGAAACAGGTCACACAGGGGCAAAGACTTGACCAAAGACAGAGAGTGAGGAGGTGGTGGGACTTGAACTCAGGACTCGCTGAGGCCAAACCCCTTCTGGCTCCTGACTCAGCAAAGCTCACTGACTCTGGGGGTGACGGCCCAGTACACTGGGTCTGTGACTGAGGACTCGGCCATGTATTAGCAGGTTGACCTTGGGTGTTCCAGTTCCCCTTTGTGCCTCAATTTTCTCATTTGTGGAATGAGGGTGATAGGACTACCTAGGATCATTTTGAGAATTCAAATAGATTTCCATATTCAGCACTGAGAGCAATGCCTGACCCAGGCTAAGAACTCAATAAATGCAGGTTGTTGACGTCTCAGGAGGCACTGCATGCCAGTGTACAATAGCACAATCATGCCTCCCTCACAGACACACTGAAATGGGAGAAGAAACGTAATGCATTAGGCTCATGGTGGGTGCTCAATAAATAGCGGCTGTTGTAACTGTCAGGAGAGAGGGCCTCGTTGTCACACCCCTCTCCATGTTCCCCCTACCCCACCCCTTTAGCAAGGTACATGCTGGGCTAAGTGACCCCCCAGGGACATGGTTGAGCTTTCTCTCTCTCTCTCCTTCCCTAGCTCCCTCCCTCCCTGGCTGCATCCCAGGGACTCCCTCAGGGATGATGGAATCATTTCCCCAATCCGGGATTCTTTATTGCAGCCATTACAGTTAATGCCGACACGTGGGGATGGTGAAGGGTCAGTGACTCACCACTGGCTCTCCAGGCCCTACAGACTCCCACCTTCCTCACAAGGCAGCAGCTCCCCAGAGTTGGCAGAAAAAAAGGGTGCCAGGCTTTTGGCTGCTGTGGGACCACCTCAGGGTTACCCCCCACCTCAGATCCAGCAATTTGCACTTTACAGAACATTATCATGCCCTTCTCTTCTTCAGTCCTCAAGCAAGCTCTACGCTTTACGATGTAGGTGCCGTGGTGCTGATGGGCCTTTAACTGTCAGCTCCAGGGGGTGGAGGTGCAGGGAGGTGCAGGGAGGTGCCCTGTTTTGTAGTATTTACTGACTTCCATGGTATTAATACTCCCACCATGGCCAATTTCAAGTTACCAGTGTAATGTCAAGTGGCTCATGAAACTCCTAAAAATTGGTATTTGACTCTCATGAACCGTTATGAGCAGATTCCACACCTTCCTGCATCTTTCCCATTTCACAGATGAGGAAACTGCTACGCACAATGAAGCATGAAAATGTGAATTAATAATGAAACCCATTCTTATATATCATTATTCAGTGACAATGATAGATTCCATTTATTAAATAACTACTTTTAGATGTGATAAGCCCTTTGTATAAAAAAGGGAATTTATACAATAAAGCCTGGAGGTAAGCTCTATTAAGATTTCTACTTTACAGATAAGGAAAGGGAGGTGAAGTTAGGTAATGAACTCCTTGTGTTTCAATTTCTTTGTGATATGGGTGTAACAGTACTCCCAAGCTCTCAGGATCACTGTGAGAATTCCAAGTTCCAAATTCAGCACCGAGGACAGTGCCTGGTTAAATTTACCTGGCAAGAGTAAAGGCAGGAATTAAACTCAGGTTTAGCAAATGACACAATCCACAGGTATCTTGCCTAATACGGTGGTAGGAGGGGAGTCAGTAGGAGTAGAAATAGACAAGCAAGTCTATTTCCACTCTGACTCAGAAAGGAAGAGTCCGAGAAAGGAGAGGGAGGGTTGAGAATGCCAAGTCATTAGAACAAGATCTCCCCCCCCCCCCGCCCCAACATTTGGTCAGGGGTTGGCTGGGATGAGCTGTTCACTGTCCAAGGTGCTGCCAATCCTTCTACATGGGGCTAGGGTCTTAAATCTGGGCTGGAGCAGGAAGGGTTACCCAGATGATTCTTGGGTAAACAGGATCTCAGAGTGCAAGGCTCCAGTGGAATCTGAGGTATGGAAAGGCTGGTCCTTGGAGAGCACAGAAACCAGTGGTTCTCAACCTGACTGCACATTAGAATCTCTTAGGAGCTTTAAAATAAAACTGATGCTGAGCCCCATCCCAAACCAATTCAATACGATTCTCTTGGGGTGCAATGCAGGCAAGGGTATTTTTCAAAGCTCCCACAGTGGTTCTAAAGTGCATCACACGCAAATAATTGATGCTCTAGACCCAACCTCTGATTGAATGGATGGGGAAACTGAGTTACAGAATGGCCCAACACTTTCCCAAGGTTACACGATAAGTATTGCAGGGAAAGATTCAAACCCAGATCAGTGTGACCAGCATGCCCCCCTCCTGGACACACCGTGCTGTACTGAGATGACACCCTGAAGGGAGCAGCAAGGATGTCACATGCCACCCAGTCGGCAGTTGGCTCCTTCCAGGCAAAATCAGCACGAGAAGTAGGAGGTTCCAGAGAGATGCTGCTCACACCTCCGTGGAGACCGATGGGCTTTGGTATCAGAGTCTTGGATCCAAAACCTACCACTTCCTCACTCCCCCCATTTCCTCCTCTGTAATTTATGGGCGCTTACGCTGGCTCTCAGAGATGCTATCGGGATTAGAGAGGTTTGATCTAAGTGGCTGGTGAAGCCAGGCATATAGAGGGAACTCAAGAGTTCATTTCTAGGGCCACCCCTGGTGGTGCGGGCAGTTGAGCGCTGCGCTGTGAAGCTGTCGGCAGCCTCTGCAGCACCAGTTCGATCCCGGCTGGCCGGCAAGGGTCCCACATGGTGCGGCAGACCTCTCCTGTCTCGCCCGCTGCTCCCTTCAGCAGTGTATTTCTTCAGTCTGCCTGCTCTGCTCTCCCCTCTGTCTCTGGTGAATCCTCTCACCCTCCTGCAAATCTGGCCTGTACCCCGGTTCTTGTATAAATAAATAAATAAATCTTAAAAAAAAAAAGAGCTCATTTCTATTCTATTCTCTTTTCTCTGTATAGTCAGAAGATCTTGGGAGCCAAGCCCTCGCCCTGAGTGGGAGACCCTTGGGCACCAGCATCAGGAGGGAGGGGGCTTGCCTGCTCATCATGTTTGGTCATCTCAGTGGCTCTGACATCATTTGTCATGGAGCCAAAACTGGAAGCCATGTTCTAGCTCCCAGGCCAGACTTTTTCATTTCTTCCCCCTAACCCTCACTACGTGCGAGTCCAATTGAGGCCCAGACTTGGGCCCCAGAAACCCCAGGAGGGGTCCCCAGCTGGCCCAGGGAGGAGGTGGCCTATGCAGAGTGGAGTTCGGAGATTAGAGATATAAATTCTCAGTCCAGCTCTGCCCTGGGCTCTCCATGTGGACATGGGAAAACTCCCTGAACTGCCTGGGCCTCAGTCCTCCTTCTGTAAAATGCAGATGACACTTTATCCTTCCTGCCTCCCAGGGTGAGGGAGACCCCTTCATGAGACAAAGAGCCATTTGGAAAAGAACGGAGTCCTCAACCAAGGTGACCAAGTGTCATTATTATGAAGATGTTTA